ACATTACTAGCTGCCAAAGATGATCTAATTGTTCAGACGCTCAGACAGAAGCTGAGGGAGGTCAGATTAGACATTATCCAAAATGTATAAAGTAAATGGAAGAAATTCCATTGATTTGATAGAGCTGGATTATCTCCCCGCAAAGGAACTCAAACATCTAAAGGATGGAATCCCCCTCCCCTTCCAAAGAGCAAAACTGAACCACTATTTTGTAATTATTAATATTGTGCTTGCCGCATCTCGAGCATATTGTACAAAACTGGCTTCAAATAGCATTTTCAGTGTTGTTATTCATTTCACAAAGCAAAATCATGATATGTTCTGGAACGTCGCTAATGCTCTTTCTTCTAGAAATCAGACTCATACCTTTTTTCAATTTATTTCATGCCATTTTAAATATCAAGAGGAAAACTAGCAGAGGTCCCAGATCCTTCAGCATTTTTTACATTTTATTCCAGTCATAAATTGACTCCATGTAAACCTACGTCACATGTGGATCGTACAGAAACACCTCATCAAAAGTTGTTCAAACTCTGTTTCTTCCACAGTGTAACACAGAGGTCTTATTGCATATTCAGGTGCAAATTTACCTTGGAGTAGGGCCTCTGAGAACTTCAGGAAGGGGGTTTTGACACAGAAGGCAACCTAAAGCCTGGTCCTGCTGCCTGCACTTCACTTCAGAGGGCGGCCAACGCGTTAGTCTGTGATTGGGGTTGGGCACAGCAACAAGAAGCCTGATGAAAGCATCCCTGAAGAGACTGATCTGGGGCTTATCCTGCAAGGTGCTGAGTGCCCTGGTCCAGAGGAGCCCTGGCTGGGCTCAATCCCACTAGTATCATAATAAGAACAAAACTGATCAAAGCTGGTGTGTTTGCTTTAGATGTGGATGCCACATGCTCTATTACCATAGAGCTGCGACAGCTTAATGAGCTATCACCCGTCAACTGTGCTGCTCCTACCCTGCCCCCTTTCCCCAGAGAGAGACAATCTTCTTAAATCTCAGAGAGAGTCTCATAAACGAGCCCTCAACGTGCGGAGCTGCCTACTGCAGTCTGCCGCATAAACCCAAACATCTTTCTCTCACCAAGCAGGATTCCTGGAGGTGAAAACTCTCCATCTCCATTTCCATATGTTGTGCCTCGAGGACACTCCTCCGACATGAGGGACCTGCTTTTGGCAGAGGCAGGGTCAGAAAGTTAGAAAATAAGAGAGGAATTTTTCAAAGTTCAGACATAGGTTTTTTTGGCAAACTGAAACAACTCGAAGGGGTAAGCCTCTGCCTCCTGTTTATTTGGAGATCTGACTAGAATAACTTACCACCGACAAACAAGGCGCACAGAGGTCATGGGGCAAAGCCACAGATCCCGAGCACGGGTGCACTCTTCCCATCAGACGCACACAGAAACACTTGGGTAGCCGGCATTAGCATTTTGAAAGCAAACAGAAAAAGCTCTATGGGCTCTCTCTTCTTCATTTGTGGGAACTGTGGCCTCGCTGGCTGGGTCAGGACCTGGGCCCTGTGGTTTCACCAGCTGTGAAAGGCGAGGGAGTGCGGGAATAGCTGCTGTCCGCTCCAAGGCAAGGCTGGGTGCTGGAAACAGGCTGGAGCTCTGCCTGCCAGCAGCCTCACTGGCTGAGCTTCTGCGCTTGAGGTCTGAACAAAGCACCGACATGCTAAAAACACAGTATTTACTATCTTGTCTATCTTGACTATCTTGAGCATTACTCAAACGCCACAACTCCAGAAATCAGCTTGGTGGAAGCCATTCTTTTATTTACTTATTTGTATTAAAGCAAAAGAGAAGCATACCACGGTACAGATGAGATGCTGCATGACTTGAAGATACCAAATTATTCATTAGCTGGCTTAAAGAATAGCACTCTGTTAGTGCTGTCATCTTAATTTCATGCTACTATTATTTCTTATATTGTGTCTTGATTTGATATTAGGCTTTAAATACTTCTGGGTATGGATTTTTCCCCCATATACTCATTTTTCCCCTAGTATGTAGGCCTCTGTTCCAACTAATGCCTGTAGTTTCTAAAATACAATCAGTAATATTTATTGTTTTCTTGTGTGTCTATTCAGGAGAAGAAAATTGCTACCAGAGTAACATTCAGCAGAATAACAGGATGAAAATGTGCACCCTTTTCTTTAAACTTGCACGTCTCACTCTAGCATTCTGCCATTTCGTGTGGAAGGCAGTGGGAAATCTGATCAAATGAGGGTGTCTGATTTGTGTCCCAGAGATTTCTTTACTGGATTTATCACAGTTAATTCACTTTTGTTTTGTCTCTCTTCACATGCTAGGAACCCAAGTAGGCCACAGTGGTGAATCTGCACATTTGGTCAAAAAACTTGCCAGGATTTCAAAAATCGGGTGTGAAAAACACCATACTACAAGCTGGGAGTTGAATAAAAACATGCTATTCAATGTACTGATGACTTTCAGAAACAAAAGGAAAAAAAAAAGGTTCATTTCCAGTGTCACCATAGAGCCTTTCCTGTGTCTCATCGCTCTTTTAATTTTCATTCCTGGAATCTCAACAGCCCGGCACCCTTCATCAGCTTCTGCTCCTGCAGAATACTCTGGTCCTACCTAGGAGCGGTTAACCACATGGGTGTGGGATTTTGCATGTCTCCCTCTTTCTCTCCCCCCTCTTGCTCCCAACCCTGAATCAAAGGTCTGCTGCCTCCTTCCCTGCTGTTTCACGGTGCTTTGACTCCTCTCCTCCTCATGCCGTCTGCCTCCTACAGCTTCTCTGGCTTCCTCTCCTCCGCAGCAGAGCAGCTCCAGGCCAGGGTGACATCTCCCTCAGGATCTTCTGACTAGTTTTCTCTGGCAGCGCAGAGTGACAGGGAGCAGGATCACTACCCCAGTGCTTCCCTAATCAAGCGGCGCTCTCACCGCTCGCCCGGCTGCCTGTGGGCTTCTCTCTTTAGTGTGACATTGATCATCGTGACACAAAATGGTCACAGATATCACTTTCTAAAATTCAGGAATGTGACAGCTAGAGACAGAATCACTATTCTATGGCCCGGAGACTATATGGATTATTCAGGTCAGGATAAATCAGGATGGATATTTGCCCTACTTCCATATTCTAGCTATTAATAACCAAGAGCATGCCAGATTGTGGCTTGTTCTGTGTGACTGCACAAGGGAGCAGCACTCCCTCCCCCGCACCTTCATATACACATGCACAAACTACAGTTTTTGGCTACTGTTTAAAAGCCATTTGCAAACCCAGTCTTTGAGCTCAGAATCAAATCTCAAGCAAATGTAGGCCTTCCTTCACCAGGCAAGAAAGGGCAGCCAAGACAGACTGTGGAAAGATACTGGAGTCATGTTCTGGTCTACTGCCCCAGAAACCCTAAAGAATATAAGATGCTGCTCTCCCCTGTTTTCCACAGCACAGCTCAGTCAAGGCTCACCCCTTTCACAGAGCGTGCTGTCTCAAAATTAGCTTCCTCTAGAAAGACACAGTAGAGAAGCCTGTGAACACCCACCTGAAGGAGCCTAATTAACCTGCTCCTGGTAAGCTTTCTGTCCCGGTGAGAAGTTGATTGTGCCTCTTCAGGATTTCAGTGTGAAGAAGCAGCACTTCCTCAGTACTAAAACAGACAGAGACCATATGGTTACGGAATTAAATAAATCAAGTTGCATCTTCCCCTGGTTTGAAATAGCAAGTGAATTCTCCTCCATCCCAAATCAGCATTCACCTTTTAGAAGGATGCAAGAGAGAAACTGTAGGGTGTCTCTTTGCAGAACTTTTGGTTTCATGGGCCATCACTACGTATTTGGAAGATTAAACTTTCAGAAGCCTGAAGCTCTTCCACTTTTAAAACAGCCCTTCATAAGCTAGCTTTTGCTTTTCATTGCAAAGGGAAAAATAAAGATATTTTTCAGTCCACTGACATGGAAGAAAGAACTGCCCTGACTGCTGAGACGGCTTCCCTCAATAGGATCCCTCTGCTCTTGGGATTTGGAAAGCTATTCTCTGCTGTCCCTCTTGGGTCACTTAAGTAATCTGCCTCAGCAACTGGTGCCAGTTCAGTTCAGCTACAGACTAGACTGTCTGGACTGTCTAAATGCCATTCCTTGAATCTGCCTGGGAATCCAGCCCTGATACTTCTCTCAACACCCACACGCATGGCCTGTTACTGTAGGCATTACTATGTGTCCCAGTCCATAAAATGCTACCAGTTTCCATTAGCTTCACAGTTTCCATTAGCTCCACTTTATTTTAATTCTAAAAAGATAATTCTTATGTGATAATTGCACTGCATAGCAGTTATGCAGGTAGTCGAACTCTCTTTCATCTGTCTTTCTAGACATTACCCTGGAGCTTATTTATCAGATAAAAGCAGAGCAAAGTAACAATAACGAGAGCAGGCCGAGTGCCAAGAACAGCATATGAGTCTTGACAACACTGATCTTTCCACTCCTGGTTCTCCTGCAGTGCTCCATCCACTGCTGGTGTCTGATTTGACTTAGTTGACCTGATGCCTCAGTGACTGCAGTTCATAATCCCCACTTCTTTCTTCCTCTGCAGAGCGTATTGCAACTATTTCCAAACAGTTTCAAACAGGCTGTTCCTGCTCGGCTCATTTAATAACTAGATTTGCTAGATCTCTAGCTATTATTTGGCAGAGGGCATAACAGGTACTTTCCAAGTCCTATCTTGGGTTACTCTTCAAGAGATTCTTTAGGCTGGGGATATAAAAAGTGTCTTTCACTTTGTGTCAGAAAGAAAATCTGTTATTTTCTGCTTCTTTTGATTCTAACCATAATATTATCTTAGACAGAGTCATCTTCAAATAAATACTGGTCAGAGGTTTCCTGAGGACCTAAGCTGAGTGTAGGTAAATAAAATAACAGAAAGCTCACTTTAGTTTCCCCACATTGGTTTGTCCACCTAAAGTAACTATGCTTTTGCTTACTAAGGCACAAGCTAGACCAAATCCTTCACAGCAGCTCAGTAATCTGGATGTGCTAATATTGGTTCAAAGCTACATTCTGGTGAACATGGGTTCCTTCATTTCCAGGAGTCTTAGAGCCTCACCACTAAAAACAACAACAAGAAAAATTTTCATGCTTGTTATGTTAAAAGGTTAGCCAGGAATAAGACAAGCAGCCTGGGGAAAGGAGGGAAAAAAGTATAGTACTCCTGCATTACCAACGTCATTTAAAATGGACTTTCAAGGGGTTAAGAGAATGAAAAGAATGGGTGTTTCCTTTTCTTTTCATCCCTGCTAACAGGATAAACTTGTCTTGGTTGCTGGACTTTCTAAATCCAAGCTCTGAAATAGATCATTACGGAGGGCAGGGAGAATAGCCCCCCAGTGGAAGTACAGGCACAAAGCCATTGATAGTCCAACGAAGCAGGTGGAGTTCAAAGGCTTTGAATGGCTATCTATGAGCAGAAATAGGAGGAGATGAGTGGGAGATTTCTTCGTTGCCTGTCCTTATCAGTCAAAATCTGAAGGAGGAGATTTGATATAACCTTCCAATAGCGACCCTCAACATCTCACTAAAACAGATTGGGACTTCACTGCTATAGTAGAGCCTGACACTCCTAAGACTCTGAGTTTCAAACCTGTGTTACGTGAGTTAAGAATGAACGCTGAGCCAAAAGCTGGAACTGAAACAGGGAGTCAAAAATTCTGGAGACTGAATAAAGAAAAATGGGCCCATGTCCACAGAGAAGTGAGTTGCAAACACAGAAGCAGCTTACTCTTGAGCTACAGCGAGCCTCTATTCACTGTAGAGGCTTTTTGCTGCAGTGGATCCCACATTATAATTAGCAAATGTAGCATCAAATGATGAACATCTGACTTCGTTTGCAAACACATATCTACACAAGATGATGTCTCGTCAATGCAAAATACAAAGGCTTAGCAAATTATGTAATTATACATTTTCAGCAGATTTTTCTGCTGCTTTTCCTATAGTGTTTGAACATTGCTCCCCATGTTATCAACAGCTTTTCATTATTTAAATATTTAAACAGCTGATTGCCATATTTCTGCATTATAGAGCTATGAAATTCAGTTCTCATATAAAAGTACAGGTATAAAATTGGCCTTGCATTTGAAGGCTTTTTTCTCATAATACTGGCTTTGTGAGTAACAAAATATACTGAGAATGTGTTTCCATATAAATAATATTCCTACTTATTTTTATTCTTCCCTGTAATACACAGCATGTGATAATATTCAGAGAGGCATGCTGGAGCTCTTAAGGAGTTATTTTTCCCTACCTGATGTTACCAGGGTTATTTTTCTCTATACATATTTCAGAGAAGCACCAGTTCAATAAAAACCTTACTTCCTAAGGGAAATTCCCTCGCAAAACATCATCAGCAAGAACTGATACCAGATAAACAAGACAAAGAGACATTGGAGTCAATTTCCCAAATAAATCTAAGCTCACCCTCCTGTTCCTACAGCTCTGACCTTGGAGGATGTGAACAAGAGATGTAAATGCACTAACACGTTTCCTGGAGGGCTACTGGGGGACATGCAACAATTTTGTGGCAGCATACACTATACTTACCAAATATATACACATATTGATTAGAGCAACATTAAAGCAACAGACTGCTTCTTGCACATGTCTGTGCAGCTTGTAGCATAACGGGAGCCTCTCTCTGTTCAGCGTCTCTGGGCGCTACTCCCTAATGCAAATAAGAAGTAATAGCTTTTCCCTCCTTCTCCTCTCCTATGAGTACTTGACATTCACATGGGTTGGTTTGCTTCACTGAGAAATGGAAAGACTAAAAGGAGGGTTACAAACCTACAACAGTTTGCGGCTTTGTTCTTACCAAAAGGCGATATTTACCTATCTAAAATCATTTTATTTACTCATAAGGGAGGAGGTAGGAAGGACTTTGGAGGAAGGACATAATGCTAAATCTGGTTTTGCAGAGGTTGCAAGAAGGGTTCTCAGAAGATAATTCTGGGAGATAAAAGTCAATTTAGCTCTTGGATACATTTTGGGTGTTCTTACAGACAAACAATGTTACCTAATTCCTAGGAGGATTTTGTCAGGGTAACAAAGCACAGTAGTAACCTCACTTAAAATGCCTTCCACAAAAAGACTACTTCCAGCAAGGGATTGATTCCCTGGGGAAGTCTCATTCATCTAACCAAAAATCCAAGCTCATGCTTGTCTCTGATAAGTGTCTATAAAAGGTATATATCTAATTTATGTAAGTGTGCACTTACTGGTTGCAACTATCCATATTTCCCAATGTGGGAATAATTTATGTCTCAATTGGACCGGCCAGGAAATTGATTGATGCTAAGTGGAATCCAGATTGCACAACCACTACTGGGCAGCCTCTGGACCCTGCCTAGGACATTGTGTATACTTTGGCTCTTAAACATGAGCATGTTCAGGGAAGAAATTTATTATAAGAGCAAAAAATTAAGGCTAAGGTTTCTTATTAAGCATCAGCCATGTCCTGAGAGTTGGTCAAATATTCTGACAGTAAGTCAATTTACTAGACTCATGTAATATCTTCTATTTAACTATCACTGCTTTGAAGCTGCAAGCAGTAAAAATATTGTTCTTAAATGCATGATGATGAACCCATTTTGGTCACAGCATGATGCCCAGCATGCCAAAATGGCATGAACATCAACTTCCATTGTGTAGTGGGGTACCCAAGAAGTTACAATTGGATTTACAAAGTGAGTTAAAAGTTTGGGATATGATCCCTGCAGAAAGGAAACTTAATATCTCTGGGCAGGTGGTGGGCTTTTTTGTTTTGTTTTGTTTAGGCCACATCAATCACTAGGAACTCAATCATCAATCTTTAGTGACTCAGTCACCGAAGAATACAAAGCAGAAACAGCAATATATTTTTGGAGACTGGATGAACTAACACAAGCATCTTGAAGTTCAGAGATGGACTGTGTACAGCAGAGAAGTTTATTAAACTACCTCTCCACAGTTATTTCCCATCCTGTTGCCACCCCTAAGATGTATGAAGGAGGTTAGAATAACAAAACTATATGTCAAACATTAGAGACGAAAAGACTTTCATGCACTTCTGCCTCCTCCTCTGCCCCACATGAGGTATAGCAGGCTAGAAAAAAGCAAATAATAACCAAACAGTCGGGTGAACAATCTCAGCCTTTAAGACTGCTGTGGGCTAGAAAAACAGTATTATGCCAAGTATGCAGACTGACCTTCCTGAGGAGACAGCCTGCACTGAGAAAGAGACCATACCTTGTACCATGAAGCCATCTCTTAAGCAGCTGATGAGAAAAAGTCTGTTTATCAACTGGCCTATCATCCTGAGAGGCAAATTGGAGAATCTTAAAAGAGAAGTCAGAAAAAAGAAACTATTCTTTGATCAGTATTGCCTTGTAACTAAGGATGCTTGGCCTTTGAACCTTTTTAGCCCACTACACTCCTAGAGTTTTGAAGATGCAGTTATGGCCCACCCACTTTACAAACTGTAATCACACTGTAATGGGGGTAGTTCACTGTTAGTTCCAGTGCAGAAGGGGATAAATGGTGACAACATCCTGTATATCCATGAGAGAACTATAAGAATAGCATTTTTTTTTTCCCCCAAAAAGCTGCTTGGT